ATTTTAATAAACATCAAATAAAATTATCTAAAATAATTTTAAAAACTTTAAACCCAAAAATTATATATCAAATGTAGAGTTAATCCACTCTGTGTGTCTCGGATGCAAGCTTGTAAGCTGTCAGGAGCGCAACTTTTCACCCTACAACTCAACCTTAATAATATCAGCGCCTCGTGAACTTGCCTTGGGCTTTAGAGTTCGCCAGGCATCAGCGCTGCTTGCTTTGACTTCTTCAAATCATATGACCATTTTCTTATTCTTTCTAATACTTCTATAATTCTTCTTTTTTCGGGGGGGGAGGGCAACTTTTATTAAATTATACACAATTTCAACTATAAAGAAATATTTCATTTTATAGCCAAAAAAATATTGTAAAGATAACGCATTAAATAAAAACCGTTATGATAAAATGAATGTATGTGGTAGGATTTGTATAAAATTTATGGAAAAAATATGTATCATTTAAAGGAAGAAAAGTTATGTCATTTTAAGTTAGAGAAAAAAAAAAAAGGAGAGAGTGGATAAAAAAATATAAAAATATAGATCACACATTTTTATGAGAGTGAAATGACATAAATTATGTCATTTAAAAACACAAACATTCTTGCCAAAATTTATATAGTATTTCATTTATGTAAATGACATAATCCTGTACTAAATGAATATACATACATCAAGACATTTGATTATGATATTACTGGTTTTGGGAAACATAAACTAGTGCCTAATGTTATCAAAAAAAAAAAAAAAAAAACTAGTGCCTAATACATGAGTATAATGTATAATAATTACACTTGAATATAAAAAAAAATATATTCATTTATCTGATAACTACTTGATTAGTATTTAACCAGCATTTTGAATTTTATAACGGGGTATTTGAAGAGGCTGTGTAGATTAATTCCTGTTTGAGGTTGGCCACAAATGTATAGAGTAGAAAAAAATTTCTTTCTCATATTTGTCGTATGGATCAGGATAAAATTGAATAGACCCAAGACCACAGAAGAATACCTGAGCTGAATGACTATTGGCTGAACAGACTCCTGAAAAAAGAATAAAGGTGCCGCAATCCGCGAGACGAAGGATAGAGGGCGACCTTTCTTTATGACGTGGCAACTTATGTGTGGGTCATGCACTATAAATTTTTTCAGGCTCTGAGCGTGGTGAGTTGTGACATATGTAGTAATACTGACACGGAACACGTAACATGATACGATACAATACTTTGACATGTTAAATTTTAAAAAAATTTAGATTTTGACACGTTAAGACACGTTTAGATATTAAATAATATTTTTAATTTATGTAATATATATTATATTTAATATTCAATAATTTAACAAAAAGGTGAAACTAAACTTATAATATTCATCAATTTTTTACAAAGAAATATAAGATATCCCAAATATTTATATTAAACTCAATAAAATGGTATTCGTAATCCGATGAATCTAATAGTTAGAACTAAAAACTTAACACAACGTAATATTCGAATCTTTTTTTGAATTTCTATAACATGTTGGAGTGTCAAAGAGTGTCAGAAAGTGTCAGACACGACACATCAAAATTTTTAAAGTATAGATACTTCATAAGTTGTGATGTTGCACTATTGGACCCCAGACAAACATGCCTTAACGTTCTGCACTCCCTTTGTTGTTTCTGTTTGGCATTATCTTTCATCGGAGGCAACCAACTGAAATTCGGATTCTGAACCTACATTATGGTACAAGGACAAATATATCCCTTCACATTATTGCTATTACCCTCGTCTCCCTCTCCCTCACGTGCCCTTAAACCGTCCACCAAACTTGCTTGCAACTTGCAACTAAACCTGTCCGTGATCCCTTGCTTTCAATATTATTATTATTTTAAATTATTTTAAATTGCACTACAAATAAAGCTCGTTCTTGATTTACCTGTCTGTCATTAATGATTTTTATTGTAATTAAATAACATTAGCAACTTTCGATCACTAAATAAGATATATAAATAGGATTCTGTTTTTTTTTTTTTCTCTCTCTAACGGTCTTAATATGTCATTAATTGAAGTCTGGAGAGAATATTTCAGAGAGGTCCACGCTACTGTTTATAAGTCAACAACATTAATGTGTCTTCAATTTCTGCAGCAATTCACCTTACCTAATTAGCCCCATGAGCAATCCTGGCCGTTGGATGTGATATCGTATTCATGCATGGAAGGAGAACAATTATTTCATAAGATCAACGGCTGAGATTGATCACCTTCGGGATTTCAACCAAAACTCACGTGCATGTCATCCACCCAATACAGCGTCATCAATCAACTATGCACCTTGGGATCCAGTGCGATAGATCCCATTCCCCATCCCCGTGTCCCCCTGAAGCGATGTTTACTCATCGTGCATGTTAGGTAATTCGTGTAATCGTGATCTAAACTGCGCCAAGAAGAATAGTGGAAACGACACCGTTCGGTGCTGGTACCTTTCCCATGAAGGTGTGCGTTTCCCAACGATGGAAAAAAAGGGAACAACTTTTTACTCTTACCAAATCCGCTTTTAATTAATGAAAAAGAAAAAGGGTAATCAATCAATTAATAAAATATTTTATTGCTACGCGTGATAGTTGGGTCCCGCTCGCGAGGATTTGAAGGATGTGAAAAAGAGGTAACGCCGTTCTCGACGGATGTTATGAAGGAAAAGGGTGAGACGACGCGGCTACATAGGCTTTAACGGGGATTTGACTCCGTGAATGACGGGTACCTTGGATTGCGGTTTTTGCAAGGTGGGGTCCAGTTGGACAACGGCTACTCTGTGATGACGTGGAGACAGCGTGTCACGTCAGCTGTCAAGCACCGAGTAGCAACTTGGCCTTGGAGGTTGATATATTAGGAAAACAAGGCAAACCGAACATCGTACTGTTTGAATATTGTTCTTAAAAATAATTTTTTGATTTCTAGAAAAAAATAAAAACATTTCTTTGATAAACCTTGTTTTATAAAAATAATTCTAAAATTTATAATTATTTTATGTTTTGATTTTTAACTTTAAAAAATAAAAATAAAAATAAAAATGAAAAACATTAATCATTCTACAAAACAATTTAAAAAAAATACGAAACACAATTAAACAGACATTAACAGCACAAGACCCTTTGTCAAACTTATATATTTTATCATAAGTTTTTTATTAATTTATATTATTTAGTTTTAATAATTATTTTTATTTCATTTTATAATGTCAAAATATGACTTTTATGATGATGATTATTATAAATAACTTTTTCATGATGTAATAATATATAATTAATTAACATTGCAAACATATTTATAAAAAAAAGTAGATTAAATTTAAAGTCATAGTGATTTAGTATCTACCCAAACATAACGCATTTTATATCCAAAGACATTTAATATATTTAAATACCTAAAATATCTATTTGATAAGATATTTTTTGTCAGACATTAATTTTTCATTTTAAAGCCAAAAGGAAAAGGAGATTAAAAGGAGAAGTTGAAGAATCATTATGCCAAGCTTAACCACATAATGAAAAATCATAACCTTTGGAATTTGTTAGATTATAGCTTATATTATAAGCTGATGAATCCCAACCATATCTATATTATAAGTCATGCGTTTCGATTGGGTGGCGCGTCAAATTCGACGCCAAAGAAAATTGATGGTCACGTGATAACCACATGACAAAATCCCCGGAGCGCCGAATTTTAGAACGCTGGCCCACGCCGTTCCCGTTCCTCGTTTAATTGATCGGAGATTGGGAGCGTTCAAATTTTTGTTCTACTTAATGCCCTCGTCTATCATCCCCATTTACGCAATTTCTAGAGGGTAGGCCAGTAGAATTGTGAGGGTATATAAGGGCATAAATGGCTTTCTAAATCTGAAATTAACAATGACTCGCTTGGGGACAAGAGCTGTGGGTTGGTTCCGATTGACTCATCCAAAGTGCAACCAGCTGCTGTAATTCCCAATTTAACCTTTTGTACAAATATATATTGAATTATAATAAAAAAATGTAATGTATTAAAGGGGTTCTCCTTTTTGTGTGCCAAAAGTTTAGAGAATATGATTATTTTGGCCTTAAATCATTCGTACTTTTTCTTGTATTAAGGCTGGTTTCCTGCTCCGCTGTACTCTACTCCATTTGTTCCTTTTCACTTTTGTTTTTATGGGTTTTGGCACTTTATCCCTCTCTCAAGCCTTCAAAAATTAATTTTCAAGCTTTTATTATTATTTTAATTTAAAAGCAATGTGAATCATAATCACTAAATTTATACTTAACTATCTTCTTCTTTTTCAAAAAAAAAAATTCAAGTACAAAGGTATGGGATTCTTATTGATATTTTATTTTAGATAGATAACATGTTTTCCTTTCTTTCTTTTTTTATCCCAAACATATACTATCATCAAAGCTAGTTAATTTTTTATAATTGAATGAGAGACCATGCGCTATTATTATTGACATATAAACTTAAAGCCTGGTGTACATTATTTAAGAAATAAAGTTTAATAATTGTTCAAACAAGGAAGAAATATAACAACTCTCAATTTTAATTTTTGTAATAGATTTTCTCTCCTGTTAAAGGTAGTTCCGGGAAAATATAATTGCTTTCGCATGTCAAATGTCATATATTAAACATGGTCAAGGAGATTAGCGTGGCTTAAGGTAGAAGGGGACACAGAGGAATACGTTAGAAACAGAACTGCGTGAGTCAACAAGTCTTCGTACTGTTAGAAAATAAAGCAGGAAAAACAGACCAACAAAGAGAGAGAATTAATCAATAAATCATGGAGCACAGGCACCATGTATTTCTCAGTTTTCATATATTTAACGTTTCTTAATTGCTAATCAATGAAAACGAGGACTCCAATTAAGCACTTTTCTCAAAGAAACTTTCGAAAACAAAAAACAAAAAAATTGTATGCGTTTGAACACAGCTCAACACTCTCAAGCCAATTAAATAAGCGTTTCATTTCGCTGTGTCGTTATCTCTAACCAGCCCTTTTCGGCTCTCTATCGCTTCTAGCTGTAGTAGGGATATTCCAAACCTCTCTCTGTCTCTCGTTCCTTTTCTTTCTCTTTCTTCTTCATCGACCTTCTTTGCACCACTTCTTATATTTTTACATTATCTCTGAACTGAAAAAAATCACTTCAAGGAAGCAATCATGGGAGGGTCTCATATGGGGTTGCTCATGTTTTGCTCTATGCTTTTTGTTTTGGCTTCCGGGTCATCCAGAAACTTGCCCATCATACCCTTTGATGAAGGGTACACACCCTTGTTTGGGGACAATAACTTGGTCATCCATAGGGATGGAAAATCTGTTCATCTTTCACTTGATGAGAGAACAGGTCTTTTTCTTTTTTTTTTCTCCTCGGTTATCATTTATGGTTTAACAATCTATATGGGGTTGTTTGATTCTTCTTGAGATGGTGATTTTCTGTCTAAAGTCTTGACCTTTTTGGTTTTTCCATTTTTGAATTGTGTTTGCAGGCTCCGGGTTTGTGTCTCATGATCTTTACCTTCACGGGTATTTCAGTGCTTCGATTAAGCTTCCTGCTGATTACACTGCGGGTGTTGTGGTTGCCTTTTATGTGAGTAATTGGCTCAAATTGATGATTAAATAAAAATGACATTTTTGTAAAAAAAAATTCATAAATCTATTTTTATATTTTATTATCCTATTTTAGAAATTTAATCATTCGTCATCATCACAGAGTGTACATGTGTTTTTACCCCCGTTTGATCAAGATTTCTCCTTCACTCCAGTAGCTTAATCTCTACTGAGCTAGTCTGATCAACCCCTCCGAATGAAGCTTTGTGTATATATATATATTCTTCCTTTTTTATCTATTATTTTCCCCCCTTTGTTTTACCAGTAAGGTGTTGAGGCATGCTTTTAAATTTTTTGTGATTTAATAATAAATCAGGTAGTTTTCAATTTCAAGTTCGCCAATGGAGACTAAATTTTAAAACTTTATACAAAATTAAATGACTTTTTAATTGGAAAAAGTTCAATTGTTTGAACCAGAAAACCTCAGTGTTTATGTCTTTTTGTTTTTATTTTTAACTTATTCAGAAAAATGGAATAAGAATAATTTATTACATCATATTTTGTGTTTGCAGATGTCGAATGGTGACATGTTCCAGAAGAACCATGATGAAATCGACTTTGAGTTTTTGGGAAATATTAGAGGCAAAGACTGGAGGATTCAGACAAATGTTTATGGCAATGGAAGTACCAGCATAGGCAGAGAGGAAAGATATGGTCTCTGGTTTGATCCTGCGGAGGATTTCCATCAGTACAGTATTCTCTGGACTGATTCTCAGATCATGTGAGTGTCTATCTGAACCCCCCCTACATACTATATTTGGTTCTCTTTTGAATTTTATACACTAGACCATATATCTACATCTCCTTTGTTATGGTAATTTTTTTTTCTCAATTTTTACTTTCGTCTTTCACACTCTATGATCCCTTGTTTGTAAGTAGTAATTTGATGGTTTTTGTCGATGGGTTGATGATGTTATGTTCAAAGATGTTGTTGGTTTTCTTCTTACCTTTTACTAAACCCCTTGTTTTATCAAACAACCGGTTTTTTTCCCCTATAATAGTAATGCTATTACAGCTGATGCATTGGTGGTTACTTAATGAGAATGAATAAAATCTGATATTAACATAGCTAATGCTTAAATATTACATATCCTTTTAGGGTTCGATAATTATTTTTGTCTACCTAAATTCATGAATTGGTAATTAATATTCTTTGATTTCTTTCCTTAATTACTAACTATAGTTAGCAGATGGAGACTCAAATGTTGCTTATATAATATCTGGAAGTTATAAGGAAAATTATTATGGATTTTTGTTCTTCTTATTTAACCTTATGAATAACTACTTTCTAATGTTTGTTATGGTTTTACTTGTTTTCATAATCGTGTATTCCTGTTTTTCCTTGTGCAGATTTTATGTAGATAATGTTCCTATTAGAGAAGTTAAACGAACAGAATCTATGGGAGGAGATTTTCCTTCTAAGCCAATGACTTTGTATGCCACAATATGGGATGCATCTGATTGGGCTACCAATGGAGGGAAATACAGAGTAAATTACAAGTATGCACCCTTTGTTGCTGAGTTCTCTGACCTTGTCTTGCATGGTTGTGCGGTTGATCCCATTGAGCTTGTAGCTAAGTGTGACAATGCTCAAAGTTTTGAAGCAGTTCCTTCTGGTGTTGCACCAGTACAAAGAATCAAAATGGAGAACTTCAGGAAGAAGCACATGACATACTCTTACTGTTATGACAAACTCAGATATCAAGTCCCTCCATCAGAGTGTGTGATCAATCCCCATGAAGCTGAAAGACTAAGAAAATTTGATCCTGTCACATTCGGTAGTGGCCGGCGTCACCATGGGAAACGACACCATCTTCTGCCTGACCATCACAGCCGAGGAAATCAGGCAGAAGATGCTTCATTCTAAGATGGTTCCGTACAAAGATATATATTTTCATCCTTGATTCAGTTTGATTGTTACCTGGGTTGATATTTTTTCTTTTTTTCTTTTTCCTTTCCTTTTGGTATATATAGAGAGAGAGCCAGAGAGGCATAGAGTTCCCGAATATGATAGTTTTGATATGGTTCTTTCTGGTGGGGTATGTGTATAGTTCATACCTTTAGGGGTTCCCAGGTATTTTGTTATTCATGTCTTATGCTTTACAAATTGAATCTGTTTATTTCTGTATTTAGACCACACCTCAGTGTTTCAATAAATTATTTAGCCAATTAGCCTGAGTTCTTTATAAAATGTAAGGTATATATATATAAAACTTCTATTGTTTTATTCTTCTGTCCATGATTGTCCAGATATACATACCTATCTTGTTTATGTGGTAATATACACATACACATACCTGTCATTTTATCAAATCTTAATTGGAATCCTAAGTCAAGCTGAAGAATGACACAGACACACAGTAGAGTTGCTGCAACTGGTTAAGTTTCTTTCTTCAATTTTCTCTTTCTCATGTTTTGTTTTGGTGCATGATACCTTGACAGTAATTTTATCAAGGAGAAAAGTTAAATATAAAGGACTGAATTATTAAAGTGGGGGAAAATGTATAATACTGAGTTGATTTTGAAGAATTTCAGTAAAAGCTTATGGATTTCAGATTTTAATAAATTTCCTTACCTAAAGCCTAGTTAGCATCTTCGAAAATATATTTTCTTCATCATCAATTTGATAAAATATGTCGTATCCTTTAGTGTTGATGATAATTTCGGAACACGTAACTAACAAATGAACCGAGCGATAACAAAAAAAAACAAAATTGATAAATCACGTGAATTTTTTATGGGATATAATCTTGTTTGAACAGGAAATATTTACATTATCATGAAAAGAAAAATTTTTACATTTACAAAAATTTAGAACATAAAATTTTACTTAAACGGAATCCAACATATTTATCGTGAATAACCGAGATAACACTAGTTTGCAAAATATCCCCAACTCTTCGTAATAGGGAAATTTTAGCAGAAGCTTTTGTTAAAAAGCAATGCGGTGCACTATTGTGTTAATTAGATTAATTAAGGGGTTTGCATTTGTCATTTAACATGACACAATAAAGTTTTTTACACACACAATATTTTGTGGGGCCCACACTTTTTGAACAAAAAAAAAAAATTATGGCACGCAAAACGAATCTCTATAACATTACACGATCACTTTTTCTACGAGATAACTCTTATAAAACTCATTAATTAAATACTAAAGGATGTGCCTTGTTCTTTACGCTTTTCTTTTTTGGAAAAATAAAGAGAAATAAATATAGGGGTTTGATTTTCTCATGTTAAATGAGAATTATAAAACCCATAAATATACCTCCTTTTTTTCTCTCCCTTTTATTTTATTTTTATTTTTGTTTAAAAAGGAAAAGAAGAAACGTAGAAATATAACGTATATTGTACCAAACCAAACACCCATTTTAAGGAAACAATGTACACAATTGATGCTAGGTCAAAAAGTAATAAAGGACTGCAACCAACAATGCATTAGACATTGGATCCCTGATAAAACAAATAATGTATCCAAAAAAAATAAAAAAAAAGACAAGCAATTATAACCAGAAGAATCAATAAAAATAAGACAAGCAATTATAACCAGAAGAATCAATATGAATTTGACTTTTGTTATCAAGTATTAACCTGAGAAATCTTCAAAGCACATAAAAAGCAATGGCCATAAAATAAAATTTCCCCAGTTAACACCCGTCCCCCACCGGAAAAGGCTCAAAGCTAAAATGTATGATGTGATTGAAGAGGTTGCTTTTTACAATTAGTTTCCAGAAAATTAGGGCATAGAATGGCATGCTCTCTCTTTTCTTTTCTTTTTTAATCACAGGCTATCCCTTTTTTCTTCTACCCATTTGATTTGTTGTCCCAGTTATCAATTTTCATTTGACTAAGACTCAAGTTGTTGGGAAAACTCAATCTTAATCTTAATCTTTCATAATAGAACTCAAGCAATTTTTGAAAGGGTATAAACACCCTTCTCAAAAGAAAATAATAAATTCAGATAAATTAGGAGTACCCCTTAGCAATTGGCACAAGTCATCTCTACTTGCTTGGAAACCCTGTGTTTTTTTATTTTGACACATTACATAAGGAAACTCAGGTAAAATTATCATAGGAGGAATCTAAACATTAGCAGAAAACGACAAACTGAATCGAGATTCTGAACCAACCATTCTAGCCGTGACTTTAAAGTGTGACTGACGAATGTATTGTTAAATATTCATGTTCTTGGATACGAAACATAACTCTGACACAACCTGAAACATGCCTTCATTGATATTCTATTTAAAATTTCGTAAGCAGAAGTTTTTGTTTTTTTTTTATTTTATGTAATGTTGCGACTTCGACAAATGAACCGATCCTAAAAGTAATAAAAATGTATTGACTACAAAGGTGAATCCAGGTGTATGAGAAGGGGGGCAAGTGCCCACCCTTGAAATCTGATGCAAAAATATGAAAATGTGTTTCTCTTAAAATTCAAGTTTTTTCAATTTAATTTTTCTCCTTCTATTTTATTTTTTCGTGAGTTTTTTTTCTCCTCCACCTTCATTATCCACACCTAACAGCAGAGAGCTCTATTCTAGACCCATCAATTGTATCTATATACTGATTCATCTCCTCTCAAACCTCAATATCCGTTATTGGAAGTTGGAACATTTGCTTCTTTCTCTATCATCGGTCCAGTTGAGTCGCAATTCGTCCAGATCTAGATCTAAACCAGACCCAGCCAGCCGGTAGCTAGGTCGCGTTCCAGACCAGACCCAGATCTATATGTACTTGAACTTATTGAGTGTCTGCCCTTCATTAATTTCCTAGATCCGCCACTGACTGAGTACAAGATCGTTCCCATGAGGATTGGATTTCAATCACTAGTTCACTAATCGCGGTTTAGTTGGACAACTAAGATTGAGATGAAGAGAATAGAAAATAAAAACAAGTAGTAGCATTCAATTTCAGAATTTAAACAAGCTATTAAAAAGAAATTTGTTTTGAAAATCAAGAAATAACTTAGTAAGGTTTCGAATTCCCTCAATATTCTTCTTATGTCATGGATTAAATAATCAAGTACTCGCCCTTAATATAATGCCAATCGATTCCTCTAAAGTAATTAAGCTCAATCCCTTACTACCTTAATTCTATGTGATTTTGGAAGAACTCTAGTTTTTCGGTTATTCCCCAAGAAAACATGCATTAACAACAAGAATCTAAAGATTGCATAATTACCCTATATCTATCCCTAGATCACAAGAATTATGATGAATTTATCAAATCAAGGTTCATGCACCAAATCTCTATTGTCATACAATTCCCCTAAATCAATCTACATGGAGCAAACTGATAGAAAGCATTAAACATAGATAAATTCATTAATTATAAAAAAGGAAAAGCACAGATATAATTTAATTCATAAACATAAGAATTCAATCGAGTTCCATCTACCCTTAACTACATAAAAATCTAGCCTAGCATAGCAAAATCAAAAACAAAAGAAGATAAAGAAAATTCCCCAAACTCCATTGGTGTAATGGCAGTTGAATCTTCAATTCTTCCAATGTCTTTGTGAGTTCCACCCACTCCTAATGCTCCAAAGCATGAAGAACGTGTTTCTCTCTCTTCAATGTAGAATTCTCTCTCCCAATTGTTCCAAAGCTCTCTTGTTTCTGAATGAACCCTTTACTTATAGTGAAGAAACCATATATTTTAATTTCCCATAGGATCTTATGGAATCATCACTGAAATCTCCAATCATATCTTCAATTGGATGATTTTATAATTTGAATATGAATTGCATCGCAACTGGACATTCAAATGTTGAAATCAACATTTGAACGCGTTAAATCTTGAATTTTTTTTCTGACACAGGACATTCAAATGTTGATTTCAACATTCAAACGCGCTCTTAATCAGCCAAGTCCTTCTCTCTGCACGTTAGAATGTTGACAGCGACATTCAAATGTTGATCAGCGCGTTTCCCCCCTGTTAGATGGCATTTTAATGTTGGAAATAACATTTGAACACGCTCCTTGGCATGTGATTTCTTTCATGCTAGAGCATTCAAATGTTGGATGTGACATTTGAACGCGCTCCAACAGAGATTTTTCTTCATGTTTTAACATTTGAATGTTTATCTATGACATTTGAATGTTCTCATCCAAAAACTTCCTTTATCTTTGCTCAATAGTTAGCACATTTAAACGTGTTAAATAACATCTGAATGTGTTTCACCAGTGTAGATTTAACTTCTTTGATGAACAATGATATTCCAATTCCAACTTCAATCTATAAATCCATTCTTGCTCAAATTTGTATTAATTTGCCTTCAAAACCAATAAGAACAAGATATATTAGATAAAAATCCAATTTCCATGATTTTCAACATAAAACCTAAGTATTCATGCTATTAACTATATAATCCATGCAATATTTAACATGATAAACTAGAGGATTATCATGTAACAAAGAAATGTTTTCCTCCGTGGACATTATAAAAAATGAGAAAAATATACAAGGGAGCAAAGGGCTATCTATGTTGCGGTTGCTTTTTTTTTTTTTTGAGTAAACCCAAGGGTATTCCCACCCCTTCGGGGTAGGACTAATCCCCTTCGTGGATTGGAGTGATGACGGTTTCTCCACTGGCCCCAAAGTGCGGCTCCCTTGGTTCGAACTCCATGCCCTTTAGACCCACTAGCCCGAACGCTTGGAGCTCAGTCCACTACCAACAACTGAGCTACACCTTCGGGTTAAGCATGACATTAGCTTAAAAGGAAGGTTACATGACTCATAATTATCCCAGAATCACTAATCATTGTCATTGTAATTTCTGCTGTGCCAAATACTGCGCCCCCCCCCCCACCCCCCCCCCCCCCCCCCCCCCCCCCCCCCCCCCCCCCCCCCCCCCCAGCTGGTATGAAATGAAAATCTCTTAAACTACTGCCAACTTGAAAGTTGAAATGAAACCAATTCCATATTCTCCCAAGAGGAAAAGATTCTCATAAAGCAAACGTTTCTCCAAGTTCATTTGAACTTTTAAATTTACTGCTAACATCAAATTCCATTCTAGAACAGTCACATTCATAAGTGAAGGCTTCCGACATTGTTAAAACAATCTTTTGCGTTAAAAGATTATCTGGGTGTATATTTTGTTTTTACACTTTTGCTTTTTTTTTTTTAAAAAAAAAAAATCTCATATATAATTTCTTTTGATAATTTTTAGCAAATGAATTTTTAAACATCAAATATAAGGCTTTGATTGTAACTCGTGTTACTCATAATGAAATTTGTATTGGGTTGATTGTAACTCGTGTTACTCATAATGAAATTTGTATTGGGTTGATGTGATTAAAGCCTGTAGCTTCTTGGTCATTCTTCTTTTCTTTCGTTTGGCCATTATGCACATTAAACTCCCTCCTTTGCTAGGGTCTCTCTCTGTGTACAACCATATAACAATAACTTCATTAGATGATGTGTTTCAGATAAGGATCATCCGCAGTTACAAAAGTAACTGCATTAGATGCTTTGATACATTCGGATCACATTTTATTTGCACTTTTTATAGTTTGAATTTTGCAATAAAATAAGATATTTATAATGGTTCAGATCTTTTAATGTTTTTTTAAAGAACTGCAGGCAACCCAATTCCATTCTTTTCTGTCTCCATTTTATGCTTTCATTTGCATTTAATGTACACATACACAAATAAAAGGAAAATGTTGTTTCGTACGAAAGCAATTACATAAAAATTGTAAAAACTTATATGGTTTGTTAAATGCATATAATATAATGGAAGTGTACAATTACTTCCAAAACTAATTTTTCTTTGACTACCCATGAATCATTATTATTTTTATTGTTATGAAATGGTTGCCCTCTATTTATATGAGATCCAACTAATTCAGTTCGGGCAATCTAGTAAAGGGGATGAAACAAGTTTGGTCATATTAAATAGCATTCCACTAGATAAAATAGACAAAGGTAACTGACTTTATAAAACATCACACATACGAAAGACAAGATAAAATGTAGCTAACAAGAGCAATTATTTGTACATTTTAGGGAATAAACGTTTTCCTTCATGTCCTACGGTGCAAGTAGCGTTCAGCATTAATGAAATACTGTTTCATGAACCACCGGCCTCCCATTTTTCTATAAGCTTGGCAAAATTATGGACAATTGTCTTGCCTTCGGTGGTTATAATGCTCTCTGGATGAAACTGAACCCCCTGTAATTTTGAAGGAGTGAAACTTTAGCACCACTGATAATATGTAAAGAGAATGGAGACAATTGCAAGTTAAAAAATAAATGCATGAACTTCAAATCAACAGAACTACTACTGCTAGCTAGGAATGTTTTAGGTAAGATTTAATTTGATCTTAAAACCACCAAAGTAGCTGCACTTCCTATTCTTCATGATACTAATTTTCAACCTATAAACACTGAGAAGGGTAGAAGACACAAGGTAAAAAGGGTTGAAAAATCAGGGACAAAGATGTATTAATGATAAGAAAAATTTACTTGAGGAGGTGACTCAATTTGACAAAACAGGTAACTGATTCTGTTTAGCCTAGAAAAATTACTAGTAAGTAACAGAAGTTATACTGGGAATTATGTACTTTATGAAGCTAGCTGACAGAAATACTGTATGTTTGAGAGAGAGAGAGAGAGAGAGAGAGAGTACAGGAAATTCTAAATTCTGAATTTCTTTGGGCAAACTTAACACATACTTAATGATTAAATAACTCATCCTTTAATTTTTTATTGAACTCAAGTTGAATATTGAACATAGAAATGGTAATAAAGTAAATATTAAACATAATAGACCACACAAAAATCTCTACAAAGCCCCAAATTCAGATCCATGAAAGCAGACATGCCTACATATTTCAGAAATTACAAAATATGACCTAATGCTTGAAACAAATATTGAAAGAAATAATCATTTTCCTAGTGAAAAGAGGCATGGCACAACACACTAGAAGGAAGAATAGTTAGTGCAAGATATCAAATAAACCATATATCAAGAATGAACCTATTTTTCTCAATTTCTGGGAAGGACACTGAAACTTTTCTAGCTTAATTCCCAAGAAACAAAAAGATGAGAATTTATCCTCTCCTATATTGACACCACACCATTTTGCCAAAGTAGAGTCAGAATATGCATGCTTCAATCTGATAAATTAATCATCAAGTATTGAAGTACATATGCCCAAAACTTATTTGCTCTTCATAATAGAATATTCTTTATGCTCCATTAATGTATTCTTAAAGATAAAACACCCAGACCAAGTTAATTTACACTGATACTAATAGTAGAACTAATTATCATTTATCGAATGTTGATTTTAGTGCCGGATAAGACAATTAGTGCTGCAGCCTGCAGGAAGAATAAGATGCTACCTGGAGATGCTTATATTTCTTGTGGCGAGCAGCCATTATAAGACCATCCTCTGACCAGGCTGTTACCTCAAGTTCTTCATCAGGAAAGCTCTCCTTTTCAATTACAAGGCTGTGATATCTACCAGCCGTGAAAGGACTGAAAATGATATCAAGGCAACAGGTGAAAATAATGTCAGAACTAAGAAAGAGTAAAGAGGGAAGAGAATGTAGTAGCTGAACACATAACCAACAGACAATTATATGACACTCTATCTAAAAAATACAAGCAACAGATAATACACCCTCAAAAATTATATAAAATAAATAAATCTCTACTTTGGTAAACCAGCAAGTAATCCATCTTCTCCTTTCTCATCATAATACACCGAAGAACTTTTTCCATGCATGACACCAAAAGGAGAACGGACAATCTTCCCTGCACAGAATACAGGCACACAGTATTGTAATTGCCCAACAAAACGGAAGATGAACACAAATATATGAAGGAAATCTTACACTCCCTTATATAAACCAAAAATATCTTAGAAGACTCACCTCCAAAAGCCTCTCCAATGCACTGCAAACCCATGCACACACCAAACAAAGGTACAGCTGGCCCAAGTTCCAAAACCGTTTGCAAAGATATACCAGAATCTTGAGGTGTACCTGTTAAGGAGGGGAAATTGTATATAACAGTTTTACTCTACTCTTTCATTTTCTTTATCTAATATATAAATACTGATCATGTATAACACTATTTGTTAAAATTTAGAAAATGAAAAATAATTGAAAAATATAGAGAGATGCCTTACCTGGCCCAGGTGATATCAGCACTCCTCTAGGATTTTTCCTATTAATTAAAATAGAATTGTTGTAAACACGCAATAGCTTATTGAATCAGGAACCTTAAAGAATATGTATGCATCCACAACTTGCTTCATGAATAACAATGTGTCTGACATGCATAATCATCAACAAGAATTTTACCTTTTTAACTCCTCCACAGTCAACTCATCATTCCGGTAGACCTCGAAGTGAAATCCCAACTCCCCCATATACTTCAAATGTAATAAACAAAATGTTAGAATATACCCATTTTTCAAAAACAACCAGTAAAAGTTAACAGATGTACAAGTACAACACATTCTATATGAAGCACTCAACTCTATTCTCTTTCTCTACCTTGCTGCAAGAACTTCTACTAATTTGCACCAAACTCATAACAAAGTTAACAAATTCTAGTAATTGGATATTCTAAAATTCTTTTAATTAGTAAACTCCCAGGATTTTTAACAGAGAAATTTAATCCCAAAAAAAAGGGGATTTTTTTCCAAATAAAAATCTTGACAAATTAAACATCAGTAACAAATTACACAGATAGAAAAAGAATGAACCTACTATACCATCTCGAACCAAACAGTGAAAACAAATTAAAACAAACAAGTAATTTTGAGAAACTGATCATCAATAAGAAATTAAAAAAAAAAAAAACAGAATAATATTTCTAGAGTTAATAAAAATAAATTATCTGCATTTACTCCAAAAACAACATCGTTTTAGAATTGAAATATTAAATAATTATAATTATAAAGAGTATAATAGGGATGTCAAAACGGGTTGACACGACACGAATACATCAACACTAACACGACATAAATTTTTATTCGTGTCAAAATCTTCAACACTGACACGACACAAATTTTTTGCGGGTTGACACGACACGAATAACACGCAAAATAAGGGTCAAAACGGTAATTGACAAAAAAAAAATTAAAAATGGATCGAAATTAAAAAAATTAAAAAATAATAATAATAAATTAAAAATAAAATAACTTTAAAAAAATACGGGTCAACACGAACACGACACGAATTTTTTTGCGGGTCAACCCAAACCAAATTTTCGTGTCGTGTCGCGGGTCGACCCGCGTGTCAAAACCTATATTGACACCCCTAGATTATAATAACTCTGAAATAAATTAAAATTACAAAAATACCATAATTTTCATCCAAAACAAATAATATTACTGCACTAAAAGCGAACCCAAAAAAATAGCAAACGGAGGAACCTGGCAAAGGTTATAGGTAAAGCTGTCATAGTTGTCAATAACAACAATCGGATTGTTGGACTTCTTAGCCAAGATGGGAGAGTTCGAATTCGCTTCCAAGACACCCTCAGTGGATTTTGGCACGAACCCATTTCCCCCTTGAGCAAATAAACGTAAATCTGCAATAAAAATCAAATTTTGCATCAAAATCTCGAGGAAAAAAATAAAGAGTGAGATATACCCAAAAAAATAAAAAATAAAAATAAAAGGAAAAAATGGAGTACTTGAGGAAGAGGGTGGTTTTGTGAGAGTGTGGAGCAAGCGGGGAAAATGGTGAGCTCTGGAGGAGAGAGAGGGGTTTGGGTGAAGAAACGAAGCGCGAGAGTGAGAGTGAGTGAGAGAGTGAGAGAATGAGAGTGACAGCGAAGCCATGAGAATGAAGGGTGATGATCACACTAAACACTGTGGATTGGGATGAATTGTAAAAATGAACGTATCCCATTTAAATAGCTTCTAAAATGACATCTATTATTTTATTATTATGCTTACGTAGCTACATAGGAATTTGGGAAAGAGAGAGAGAGAGAGATTGATTTTTTAACTCACATGATCATTCACTCCTTGGTTGAATTTTTGTCTTAAAAAAGGGAGATAGATTTATTATACAAATATAAAACAAAAAACTTTTGCCGACTTTTAAATATCAAAACGGTTACTAGATTGAATGCAAAGTTATTAAAGGTAATATAATAAGTTTTTTGTTTTAAGAAATTAATTTTATTATATTATTATGGGATAGGATATTGTGACACCCAAGTTATGTTACACCCATGTGACACCCAGTCAATCTCACCGTTAGATCGCTTATGTTGATCCAACGGTTATATTTATTTCCATCTTTGTATGGTCATGATTTCCCAAATTTAAAGTGAAAGCATTAAATATGAGAAATCATAACCATACAAAGGTAGAAATAAATATAAAATATTAAATTTGGGAAATCATGACCATACAAAGATGGAAATAAATATAACCGTTGGATCAACATAAGCGATCTAACGGTGAGATTGACTGGGTGTCACATGAGTGTAACATAACTTGGGTGTCACAATATCCTATCCCTATTATTATATAACAAAAAAAAACTTTCGTCAAATTATTTAATATCCAAACGGTTACAATATTGAATGCAAAGTTGTAAAAGGTAATATAATAAGTTTTTTGTTTCAAAAAATTAAATTTTACTATACAATTTTGTCAAAAAAAACGCTTGTCGACTTATTTAATATCCAAACGGTTACAATATTGAATGCAGAGTTATTTTTTACTTAAAAATGGCAAAAAAAAAATTGATATATTGTTTATTAAATAAAAAATTACAAAATAGAAATATAATGTTGTAGGAAAGTTGTTAATTTATGTTATAGAGATAGAAATTGTGGGACCAACACTTGTTTTGTTTTGTTTTTTGTTAAAACAAGTGTTGGTCCCATAATCTCTATCTCTATAACATAACCTAATAACTTTCTTACAACATTATTCTTCTTTTTCCTTAAAAAATTACAAATTTATGAAGTTTTAGAAATAATTACACATTTATTGCACAATATCATGCTCAATTGGGCATTACCAATCACGCTTAAATTAGACGTCAAGAGGCAATCACGCCTAATTTAGGCATCACTAATCAGGTGTTGTCACGTGTCACATTTTTTTTTTCAAAAAAAAAAATTAACAATTTAATCCTAAAATTTTTTAAGGCCATAACTTTTGACTCGGGTATCCAAATCAGATAATTCTTTTTTTATTCCACATAACTTTTCAAGATCTACGCAATGACATCTCATTTGACTTATTTTATTTCTCACAAACACAATTTAAATTTGCAAGAATAATATTATAAGAGTGGTTAAATCCAGAAGCCTCTGAGTTCTGAGTTTGTGATTTAATATAAAAAATAATTAAAGATTTAATTTGTGATTTAAATTAAAAAATAATAATTTCTTTTATTTTTATTATAAAAAAATAAAATTGATTTGTGATTTAAATTAAAATTAAAAAAAATTATTATTAATAAGGAAAACAAAATAAAAATAAAAAATTATGACCGCTCTGAGAGCATGGTATTTCCTGTCAAAAAGAAAAATAAAAGCGATTGAAAGAAAAATATAAAAAAAAAAAAAAGAGTTTAAGAGTAATTTTTTTATCAACAAAAAAAAAAGGAGCACCAAAAAATTTGGTAATTCCTAGCATTTTAAAAGTTTTCCTATGAGACACTACTTTTATTTTTTAAATTAAAAAATGGAATACCGCCAATTAAATTGTGCCACATAATTGGTCCAATCTTCTTACATTCTCCTTTTTACAATATATTCACATAATCACATCCTCACATTCACTCGCTAACATTAATTACTAAATAATTAAAACTATTGGTTAATGCATAATCATTATTATTAAATCAAAATTAAAACAGAAAAATATTTATGCCGTTAATGCAGATAAGTTATCTGTATTTATTTCTAAAACGACGTTGTTTTAAGATTGAAAGATTAAAAAATTATAATTATAAAGACTATAATAACTCTGAAATAAATTAACATTACAAAAACGTCATAATTTACATCCCAAAACGACGACGTATTAGGCTTACTGCATATAACTTATTATATATAGTAACTGTAGAAAAACATGAACCTAAATTAAAAATCACTAATTACTATAATTAATATAATTAATGATTTTAAATTTTAAAAAAAATTAATTTTGATAATTGATAATCATTAATTACTAATTTAAGTAATTATTGATTAATTATTAACTGTAGTAATTACTAATTTTTAATTTCATGACTGATTATTAATGTTAGTAATTAATTATCGTGTATTAATTAATAAATTTAATTATTTAATAATTTGATATTCACTGATTTTTAAAATAATAATTTAATATTTAATTAAAAAATAATTATCACTCTTCACTTATTACAATAATTAATAAGTACTAATCACTAATTACTAAAATTAATAATTAAATCTAACTTATAAATTACTAATAACAAACTACAAATTACAGTACTTAATATTTAATAATTAATTTTCACTTAATAATATGTTAATCACTACCAAAAATTACAAACTTACGCTACAAGGTGAGTGGATGTAAGGTGAATAACAAATTATGTATTAAAAAAAAGGTGAATAACAAATTTTGGGGTTAGGGATTGATTAAAGTTTTTTTTTCGATTTTTAAGTATTTAATTTTGGGTTGACAGAAATACTTAAACATTATTTAATTTTATCATTCCATCAATGTTTAATTTTATCAATGTTAAATTTTGGGGTTAAAAGCAATACCACATTCTCTTCAACTCTTCACACTCTCCTCCCACACCCTCTTAAAAGAAATAAAAAATTAATCATATTTAGGAGTGTAAATGAGTCAAGTCAAGTCATACTTTAGCCTAAATGAGCTAGTTCTATGTAAAATATTTCAAGCCTAATTTTTTCTTTTTTGGTAAACTTTTCAAGCCTAGTTTTGCTAGTTAGTCTAATACAAGCCAAATTATAAGTTTGGTCTGAGTTATTTTTAAAAAGTACAAGGTTTGGCCTGACCTATCAAGGTTACCAAAACTTCAAAAAACATATTAGACTATGTAAAATACAAATTATAATTATTTTGTTAAGTCAAAATAGTATAATAGTTGAAGTCACACAACAACCTAAATATTATTTTATTAAAAAATAACAAGATATTATTTCATTAAAAAATTAAAAATATTTTTTATTAAAAATACAAGTTAAGCTTAAAGACTCAAAGGTCAGGTTTTTTAAAATAAGCTCATGGTTTGATTTTTAAAGAGACCATATAATGAGTTCAAGTCTATACTTTTTTTAAAACCGGCCAAGCTAAGCTAGGTTAAAAACATGTTAGGTTATAGGCTGCTGATAAGTCGGCTGACTCATTTACATTACTAATCATTTGATTAGGGGTGTAAATAAGCTGAGCCGAGTCAAATCTATGGAAAATATTTTGAGTTTGGCTTGGCTCATCAGCTTGGTATGAGCTAAATTTTAGGCTTAGCTTGACTTATTTATAAAAAGTTAAGGGATTAGCTTGAGCTTGGCATGACTCGTTTATTATTATAAAATGTATTTTTCCAAATTCACATACGTCCAAATGTTAAGACTATAAATACATCAAATCTTGTATTCCTTCGTCAGAGAAAAAAACAATCATAGAACCCACTAAGTTCACATATATTTTAAGACCAACTAACAAGTTATGCAATTTCTTCTTAAACATTGAAAGCAATCAATGCTTAATGAAGAGTATAAATTTGATGACTTAATAAACCAAGAGAATGTGCGATCAATGCCGCTTGCAATGCATAAAATAACACACACAAAAGAAACAGGTGACGACTTCACTACTAATAGAAATTGTCCAAACTCCAAAGCTTATTATATTATAATCTTCAAAGAATAATAAAGAAAGAATATTTGAGTTCGGTCAGTTGCTTCTGGAGTTAAAAATAATAGTAAAAAATTAAGGTTAATGATTTAGTGACATAAAAATATATTATTTATTATAATAATATATCGGTCAGCTCACGAGCTTTCAAGTCAAGTCTCATTAAATAAGTCATGGGCTTATTTGCTACGTTTTTTTTTAAATTTGAGCCAACTTTATTTATTAAACAAATTATGTCATGTCAAGCCTTGAGACATTGACAAGTCGCTTGAATTATTTACATTCCAAACATTAATAAAAAAAATAGAAAGATTATTTGGGTCATGATTATGTTTTACAATTCAAGTTGCACCATGACTTTTGAATTTGAATTCTTTGTACAAAATTTGAGGGAAAGAATAACTTGGGTCTGAATTTTACCATTAATTATAGGGTACACAATTTTATAGTACATGGACTTTTATGGGTCGAGAATAGATTACTACGGGTAGAATATGATGAAAAGGTAAAGACGTAAAGTTACTTATTTTTATTATAGCAATATATATATATATATATATATATGGTTCGTTTCTTCTACAGTCAATGTAGATAACTTATCTACATTAAGCCCAAAACGACGTCGTTTTGAGGCGAAAATCAAGGTATTTTTGAAATTATAATTTATTTCAGGATTACAATAATCTTTTTAATTATAATTTTTTAATTTTTCAACCCAAAACTACGTCGTTTCGGGAGTGAATGTAGATAACTTATCTACATTCATTTTAAAACATTAAGGGCATGTTTGGTGCATAGTATAGGATAAGGCCTAATAGTATAAGACCTGATTAAATTTTAATACTATCCAGCGTTTGGTATGATATTGTATAAGATAATATCCTTCAATATTTTAAAAATTAATATATTAAAAAAATTATTTTAATATATAAATATTGAAATGATATATTAGTTCTTGGAAATTGCACTTGTAAACAATATTAATACAT